GTTTCTTCATTTTTGACGTCTAAGTGCGATTTCGCTCAAATTGGGATTTTTATCTGTGTTATCTTTGAAAATTTGTACAGATAATCATAATTACCTATATAAAATATAGATAATTGTTGTGCTTATCAGACAACTAGTTTCACATGAAAGACAACTACAAACCTAGTTTCAACAGTTCAAAATGAAGTGATAGACAACTCAAATGGCTTGCCAGACAACTAATTTCACATGACAGAAAACTACAAACCTAGTTTCAACAGTTCAAAATGAATTCACAGACAACTCAAATGGCTTGCGAGACAACTAATTTCACATGACAGACAACAACAAACAAATTTTAAAAATTTAAACTACTAAGAGAAATCAACCACATATGCACTTCAAGTAATACACCAGACAACAATTTGCACAATTTAAAGTTGAAAACTATACTAGAGAAACAAAATCCAAAATCTTTAAAATATAAGAGGACATAAACAAAAAATTCATATAGGCATTTCAACAAACATGTTATGGGCATATTAATGACATAGAATAGTTGGACTAAATTTTAAGAATAAACATCACAAATCCATCACAATAACACAACATATTAAACAATTCAACATTACAAGATATATAGAGTGTTACAAATTAAATAAAAAATAAATAATAAAAAATGAAGAAAGATGAAAAGGGGGAGAAAGAGGAATACTGGGAAGGAAATGTGCAGAGAGTGGTAGCTCAACTCCATTGAAGAGGGTTGCAAATAGCGTTCAATGATGACCTCCTTTCGCCCTAGCACTGTAGCTCTCTATTTGAAACGAAAATAAGCAAATTAAAAGAGGGGAGGGTGAGAAGAGGGGAGGGTGAGACGAGAGGTGGTGTTGGCCGGTGTTGTCGCGGGATGCTCGGATTTGGGTGATCCGAAGTCGCAGGGGAGTAAGTCGAGAGTAGGGGCTGGTTGGGATGGAGTTTTCGAAGGAAAGAAGAGCTGGGGTGTAAAATTTTGAGATGGGGAAGGGAGTGAGGTAAAAATGAGGGATGATTTATATATGGGGTATAAATGGGGTAGTAATTGAGGTACCCATAACAATTTTGTACGGAGTAATCATATTCATTGTTCCGGGCATATCTTTGTGATGTAAACCGAGAAGCTCATTATTGTACCGGTCCTTCATGGAGAGGGGGAAAAAGTAGTAAATCAGCCCTCGAACTAATAAAAAAAGTGCAAATCACCCCTTATATAGGAGGTTTTGTCCGGCCGTCGTCATTGGGGCGGTTCCTGGTTGAATTTTTTGATGAATATTTTTAGCATCTTCTTAAGTCTAGTTTACCCATACCAAATCTCAGCTCAAAACTCAACTGAGAAGGCAGTCAAATGATTTTCTGAAATATACTACACTGTTTAACTGCGCAGTTATCTTCAAAAATTCATTTGACTGCCTTCTCGATCGAATTTTTAGCTGAAATTTGGTATGAGTAAATTTGACTTAATGAATAAGATGCTTAAAAAATTTCATCAAAAAATTCAACCAGGAACCGCCCCAATGGTGACGACCGGACAGAGTCTCCTATATAAGGGGTGATTTACACTTTTTTTGTTAGTTCGATGGCTGATTTGCTACTTTTCCCTCTAGAGTGCAAGGGAGTGTTTGCAAATGATTTTGCTTAAGAGCCGTTTGGTAACACAAAAATTGGCTGAGTTGGCTGATTCTGCTGAAATTTATGAAGTTCAGGCTGAAGTGGCCATATTGACTGATTCTGCGGATTAATGAAAAAAATATATTTGAAATATTTGTTATTAATAAATTAAATAAAAAATCATATGACAAAATAGGTAAAATGATTCTCTATAGTAACTTCGGTCAATACAGCCAGAAAAGTAACTTCAACCTTACCTTTTCTACTTATTACAAAATTAAGCACGTGAAAGCAAAAATTACATGTTTGGTGAAAAAGCTGGTTGATCAGCTTGATAAGACGAAAAAAGGGGTTACCAAACGGGCTCTAAAAAGCATTTTTTGAAGTGATTTTGGAAAACATGATTAGTTGTAAAAGTTGATAGTGTTTGAGAAAAAAATGATTTCGAAAAAAAGTTGGCAGTGTTTGGTAAAATAAGTGATTTTGTGTAATAGAAAAAATAAAAAAGCAATTTTTACACAAACGCCGAGAAATACTTTTTTAAGTAAAAGTTGTCACTTGAAAACACTAATTTTAGCTTTTTAAACCGAAAAGAGAGAAGTGCTTTTTTAAGCTATTGCAAACACTGATTAAAAACCGTATTTTCTATTTTTTGGCATTAAAAAAGCCAAAGATAGTGTTCGAAAAATGTCGTTTCAACAAAAACACCCTTTTGTGTTACCGATTGATTAAGGTTTTATGATGTTAAAACCTTATTAGGAACGCGATTAAGGTAATTCAAGGGCTTTCAAAAAGTTGAAAGAGTCACCGGAGTTGTCGCCGGAGTTCGTCAAAAGTCACCGGAGTTTCACCGGAGTTCAACCAAGGAGGGTAGAACTTCATAGCGCTAATTCGAGGTGAGTGAACGGCTTAATATCTTATAACTTTTGGGTTAATTATGAGATTACCTAAATAAATGTTATATGTATTCATAAAGATGTTTAAAGAATATTTAACCATGTAATTAGCCAAAATGATTAGGCTTATATGAAATGAATTACTTGAATATGTATGGAATATGATATGAGAATTTATATGAGATTGCATGCTATGCTTGAAAGGTAAAAGAAGCATAGAATGAATATTATTAACTTAATTATACGATGATTAAGTTGATACGTACAAGGCTTGAAATGACGGTCAATGAAAACGTTGACCGATTGATAATGGATTAACCAATACCGGTTGGTATTAGTTAATTATAAATTTATATAAATGCACGGCTTGCATGGATTGAGATACATAAACTTTATGGATTGATTTAGCTATGAACGAATAAGAATGATATAGACTCTATCTAGGTTGATATGATGTTGATCATAGGATTATAAATTGGTGGAGGACCCTAGGACTTAAAGTCCTTAACACTCGGATTATAAATGGGTGGAGGACCCTAGGACTTAAAGTCCTTAACACTCGGATTATAAATTGGTGGAGGACCCTAGGACTTAAAGTCCTTAACACTCGGATTATAAATTGGTGGAGGACCCTAGGACTTAAAGTCCTTAACACTCGGATTATAAAATGGTGGAGGACCCTAGGACTTAAAGTCCTTAACACTCAGATTATAAATTGGTGGAGGACCCTAGGACTAAAAGCCCTTAACACTCAGATTTTAAATTGGTGGAGGACCTTAGGACTAAAAGTCCTTAACACTTGAATATAAATTGGTGGAGTACCCAAGGATTATGTTATCCTCAAAACTCATAGATTATGATATTAAAATATGGACAAGGAGGAGTCCTATACACTCATAGGTATATGGGTGAGTTGGGATTTTTAGTCAAAAATATTGACTATTACTATTTTCCCAAACAAAACAATGAATCACGGATCGGGTATTTTCCAAGTGTATATATACTAATAAGTATTTCTTAACTTGGGAGAAAAGACTATTTATATAAGTATCACCCTATGTTTGGGTATTATACTTGAAACGTTAGTTATTCTATATTTAGCCTGCTACTCGCTCGGTACTTGTACTGACCCCTTCGCCCCCCACCATTTTCAGGTTGAAGCTAGGGCTTGCTACTTGCACCTTCTTACGGGTGATATTAACTCAGGAAGACGTGGTTCATGTTTCCTTATTTTCTTTCAAACTACCGAACACTTGCTAATGGATATTTTCATTTATTATAAACCACTTTTGGGCTTGCATGCCCATGTTGTTGGCCGAATGTGGCTTATGAATTACCTCTGAATATTTCCGTTATTCAATGGTTTAATTGTGATGTTGTTATGTATGTTTACTACTGAGTATGAATGGATTATTTTCTCGAAAGCCTTGTATGATTAAGTGAAGTTGACTCGCGGGTGACGTCACTTGATTATACGGCGGTTGTACACGCGCTTAGATTGCGGTCTGGGGTGTCACAAGTACGGCAGATTCCACTGGAGGATGGGCCATGGCATGAATGAGTGCATTATCCTCCGATGACAAGTTGAGGCACTCATCTTGCAGGAATACCTAGCCTAATTCGTTGGCAAGGAATGGAGTGCCCAGCTGAAGAGGAGCGCAACCTAATGTGGCAACGCTTCGACCAGGCCACCATGTCAAAGGAGAAACATCCCGCTAAGAAGCGGGAGCTCGACGCCCTTTCCGACGATGACGAGGCCGACCTGGGAGATGGTGCCCATAACACTATTGATGTTCATACATCTTTGGAAGGAGGGAGGTGACACTACTAGAGAGCGGAGACCTAATTAATCACTGTTGAACCGGTGAACAGGGAAAGGTTATGAAGAAGTCTAACAGAGGATAACATTAAATCAGTTCAAATAAATTATCAGATATCTTAGGGGCCTACTAGTAAATGAGGAGAAATATAAACCGAATGGAAATTTTTATGGTGCCTTCACATTGAGATGGTTTAGGTGCATTGTTGGGATGTTTTTACTTGGATTGAAATTTACTGGTCCGATCTAGTTTGTTCTATTTAAGTCTGGTATGATTTGATAGTGAAAACAGTCCAAATAAAAACATCCTTGATGTGACAAGACTATATTGGAGATTTATGCCAACTGAACCACCAGTTCACCTTAGTAAATATTTTCAAAAATTGTATAATTAATTTTCTAATAATCTCAAGATTCATTTATGATTATCAACTAACATCTTCAAATATTTTTTTTAGTCCCACACTTACTTATTACATATAATTTTCAAAAATTGAAAATAATTTGGATTCATATTTTGATTTCGGATTATTTTATCAAATAATCTCACTCAAAAATCATAATTACTCATAATGACCCTCTAAAAAATCTGCTATATCACCCATTTAATATATCCTAGTAATCTTCTGATCTGCTAAAAGAATATGAATAATATTCTGAGTGAGGACGCAATTGGAATTTATTTGATGCTGTGTAAAGCTGGGTTGATGATGCTAAAATACATCCCTATGCGTCCTAATACGCCCTGCCGGGGCGCGGCATGATTACCTATGGCACCACTAAAATCTCTGGAGCAGCGCTACCCTTTCATTGACTCTAATTTTCGGACCTTTTGCGGCGCTCATGGCATTTTCTCAGGTTCCTTATCTGCTCTATCCCCATGTTCTTCCACATTATCTTTACGTTTTTCCCCTTGCTTGTCTGTGTGTAGAAAAAACTCTATGACCTGTTTAGGTCTATGACCTGTTTAGGTATTGGCACGAAACGATTGTGGATGACTTCAATCGTTTCGTGCCAATACGGTATTGGCAAGAAACGATTGAAGTCATCCACTTAGTTGCTTCTTAAACGATTGAATAAGGGTTAGTTTTTGTGACCATATAAATGTTTTGCTTAGTCGTATTATATACATCCTGTATCATTTTCAGATGATATATCTTATTTCAATTTAGAGCTTTTTGTTTTTTCACTTCATGCATTTATCTCATATGGACAGTTGAAGATTTTCTTCTGTACGACACACACAGTTTGGCTGTTTCAGCAGCACAGCACCCTACTTCAGCAAGACTGAAGCAGGTGGTTCTCAAGTCTTCATTCTTAATCAAAATGCTGCTATTAGTTATTCATTTTTATCTTTGTGTGCCCTTCAAACATGTAGGGCATTACCCAGGTTCTTTCAAGCATTGAAACACTGCATCAACCATGGTTAAATGGTATAGAAATGTTAGATGATGTGCATCATAAACACATTCTATCTACGGGATGTCAATGGTATTGGCACATGAATTTGTTGTGTTGATATAATTTAATCGTTTGCTACGTTACAGATTCACATTTTCCTAATTACTTATATGGTTTTACGTATCAGCATTGACGTTTTCCTTGAAGGTGGATTCAGAGGGGGGCATCTCACTGAGCTAGTTGGACCATCATCGTCCGGTAAAACACAAGTAAGAATAAGAATATAAGATGTATTTTAACAAGGATACTTTAGTTTTATTTTTAAGTCAATGAGTTACTCAACAGCCCACTTATGTTGCAGTTTCATTAATCATAAATATGAACTAGTTTGTTGTTAATTTCTAGTTATGCTGTGATAGGTCTGCCTGTTGATTGCCACAAATGTTGCCAAAAGTTCAGGCAAAGTTATGTTCTTGGACACTAGCAATTCGTTTTCTCCCAAACGTGTAGCAGAGTTTGTCAATCAGACTTCAGATCATTCTACTCGTAAGGTCAAATATCTTCACCCATGATCAACAGTGGTGTTCATTTCACTATGTAGACATAAAATCATGTTCATGAGGATCATGATGATTATTTGCAGCCAATGCTCTAAAAATCAGTAGGCACTAGTGGTGTCATGGGGTGGCACCCACTACACAGCGACTAGGCCCTTGCTCTTTTTGTGCTTTACTGCTTTTAAATATATTTATCAATGAATTTCTGTATCTTTGAGTGATTAAAACTGCTGATATACTTCCTAAATACGAAATGTTAACTTAGTGCCTACACTCCGCCCCTCACAATTCTTTTTTGTTTTTTATTTTTATTTATTAACAAGCTTCTGTATCTTTTGGTGATTAACATAGCTCAGATACTCTCTAAATGGTACTCTATTTGTTTTTGTAAGAGTATATTTTGAATCATTAAAGAAAACAAGAAATTGAATGAAAGGCTGTGCTCTTTAGTGGTGGAAATAGATCGTATACATGCAGATTTTTTTTTGTAAAAGGAAATAGTTGTTTTTGTAGTAGACTTAAGATAGCACCTAAACATTGTCCTTGTATGTATGTACTTCCTAACCCCATCTTAAACACCCCTTTTAGTTGGTTATGACAGCTTATTTCTTTTCAATGTATTTAGTTATGACTTGAATGCTTCATTTTAAAATTTGTTAATGCGATCTATTTAAGTGTTCTTCTTTATTGTGTTTTCTTTCGTGACAATGGACAATGAAGTTAATGACATTGTATAACTCTTATTATGCAGGTGAAAAGAACACTTGAACATATTATGAGTAATATAGTTTGTTACTCCGTTTTTGACATCTTTACAATGTTTGATGTCATCCATGAGCTGAGGAGTACCTTGAGATCTCTCGGGTTTATTTTCCTTCTCTTCTACTATTCTTTGCCTATTTATTTTTCGTTTTATGTACTATCGGCTGGATTTGATATGCGGACAGGTTGCAGGGTGAAGTTGCTTATTATTGATTCAATTTCATCACTTATCGCTCCAGTTCTTGGAGGGTCTGGTGCACATGGTATGTATGTATAGCTCTCTTATACTTATGATTGAATGTTCAATATATATATATATATATATATATATATATATATATATATATATATATTGTTTTGTTATTGTTTTACAATATTCCATTTGGTCATTTTTGGGAATTAGTTTGATATTTAAGAAGGGTATTTTATTATTTTTGGGGAAAAGCGGCAAATAAGCCCTCAAACTAACAAAAAAAGTGCAAATCACCCCTTATATAGGAGGCTCTGTCCGGCCGTCGTCATTTGGGGAGGTTCCCGGTGGAATTTTTTGATGAAATTTTTGAAGCATCTATTTTGTTAAGTCTAGTTTACCCATACCAAATTTCAGATAAAAATTCAATCGGGAAGGCAGTCATATGAATTTTTGAAGATAAATGCGCAGTTAAACAGCACAGTATATTTCAGAAAATCATTTGACCACCTTCCCGTTTTTATTTTTAGCTGAAATTTGGCATGAGTAAACTAGACTTAATGAAGAAGATGCTCAAAAAAATTCATCAAAAATTCCACCGGGAACCGCCGCAAATGGCGACGGCCAGATAGAACCTCCTAAATATGGGGTGATTTTCACTTTTTTGGTTAGTTCGAGGGCTGATTTGCCCCTTTTCCCTTATTTTTGCCTGTTCAAGGAGTTTCTTCCATTCATCTTCATTCTCACCTATGTTTTTCAAGAATTTGGTATGCTTTCCAAAGAAGGAACAACTCAAGTATTTACAGAGGCAGAAACTATTCACTAATTCACAAAGGGTGTGTTTGGTTTGAGGAGAAAGAAGGATTTCCCTCGCCTTATTTGGTTGAAATATTAGTAATGGGAGGGTGCAATTTTTTCCCACCTTCGCTCCCTTGTCCTACATTTTGTTCCCTCTCCGGCTGTGAACTAAACAGGACATAAATGTCAACTTTGATGTAAAAATAGGACATGCTTTGATGGTTTCAGCAGGACTTATGCTAAAACAACTAGCAGATGAGCATGACCTTCCTGTTTTGGTTAGTAAGAAGAAACCTCTGCCTCCCCTTTCTGCATTAAATTACTGTATACAAGTACAATAAGATAGTTTTCAAAATTTGCCATCCTTAAGATTTCATTAATCATGGTTAGATAGGTAACCAATCATATGGTAGCTGGAGAAGGAAGCAATCTGAAACCTGCACTTGGTGAGAGTTGGAAGGGCATTCCACATACCAGACTGCTGCTTTCTCGCGACTCTACCAGACACATTAGCACCATTTCAGTTATAAAGCACCCGCATATGGTATTTTTCTTGATCCAATGATAGCCCTATTTTCTAAATAGTGGACAGTGGCACATTGCTTGAAGAGTATTTCCTTGAGTAATATTTAACTATCTTATATGGTCTTCAAATTGGGGTTGTCAGGCTGCTGGAGATCGAGTGGAGTTCCAAACACCATGACAGGTTGTTGCATGACAGCAAGTCTACCAACACCGAGATTCATACTTTCATGTGCTTATAAATCATACTCCGTATATGTTCCGTATATGTTCCGTATATGTTAGTGTATGTTTGACGTGCTAGTTCAGCCCCAAATATTCCAAATATAGGTTCATGTAATTACTGTTGGTTTCAGTGACCTGTTTTGCTGTCACTCCTGAATTGGGCAAAATCCCCTTTTCTGTTACTTGTGATTAAATGAATAGATTCTGGGGAGAGTTACTAAATGAAAGAATTGCCTAGATAGCAATTTTATAGAGAACTAACACTAAGATAACCACTAAGCCCTGATAGTGTTCCACCATCCTAGCAATTCCGAAGAATAAATCAAATCTGATAACTAACTCTCTCTCTCTCTCACACACACGTATAACTCAAATACTAGACATAGTTGCAAATTCACCCAAGTACTTCTGAAAATTCTGAATTGAGTAAGGCTAAGCTTATCTCAATGTTGCCTCTGTAAGCTTGACTTGCTCAAAGCTATTCACTCCAAGTAGTTCTCTCATAGTCTCATCTTTGCAAACTTCACCCTTCTAGAGCCTTAGTGAGAACATCCGCATGTTGCTCCTTGGTGCAAATAATCTCCACGATGAAATGCCCTTTATCAACACATTTACAGATGAAATAGTAATGAGAATCAATATGCTTGATGTGTTTGTGGAACACTGGGTTCTTCATCAATGCAATTGCCGATTTGTTATTGACGTAGAGGGTAACTGGGCTGAGATTCCCCCCCATGACTTCTCTTAACAAGTTTCTCACCCACAATGCCTGACACTATGATGGTGTGGCTGACTGGCTGTCATGAATTAAGCCTTGCAGGAATATAAAGTCACAGTATGTTGTTTCCAGGTTTGACAAATAATCAGAATTCCATTGAGGTAAAATGCCAACATGAATGCAATGAAGTACTGCAGTAACATCGGACAGTAACACCAGTAACATCGGACAGTAACACCAGTATAAAGTGCAATACATTTAATTAGACGTACCTAACTAAAGTTACCATATCTAAAATGAACAAAAGAACTATAAATTAATCAAATTTTCGTATTGTCGTGCAATAATGCCAACATCAAATGCAATGGTGTCTTGTAGTGACACCAGTATATCATACAATATTTTTAACTGGACAAAAGTAGTCCAAAATGCTTAATAAATGCATTTTTTGTTTTTGAATGAGATTTTTTTCTTTTTAGTCATGAATATTTAAAACACATATTGAGGGAAATAGTTTTACTCATACCGCAAATTTGCAAAAAGAAACAAAAAAAAGTGAATATCCCGTGTGAATATTCAGCGGTAACAGCAAGGAGGAGTGGACTAATGAAATCCTTATCGATCAGGACTGATCGCATTGTGTTGGTTTGAAGGACATATTATTGCCTAAAGTCACCTTCATATTCTTCTGTTGACTATTCCCAAATATGGCCGTCGAGATGCCCATTCCTTCGGTGCTTAACATGGCCAAACACGCCAGATTGGAGTTCTACCCGGTCACAGCCTGCATATAGTTATCTGTGGGGATAACCAAATCCCCCCGTCGAAATGAAAGGTCAGCTGCGGAAAAGTGACATTTGTATTGCCACCGCCCGGCAGAGCGAAGCACAAATCCAGACCCGCTACAGCTGGCGCCTCCTGCAGACCAACCACCTGCAGCTGCGCAATAAGCTCACTCCTGAGCGCCGCGTACACCGTGGGAATCAGGCGCGTGTAGGTGGTGCCGGAGTCGATTACCATCCCCCGACTTCCGTCCATGATTGATTCGAACGCCGACTCGTGTCCCTGCAACAGAGCAGTCCCACCGAAGGTTATCCCCTTCAGTAAAACAAGATACCATGGTGACGTAGTCGGTAACAAAGGGGCAGTTGTAATGGCGGCCATCGTGGTTCCGCCGGCCGGAGAGCCAACTCCAAGCGCGCTCCCTAAGGTGCTCTCGGGGCCGGTTAGGCAATACCAAAATGTGTTCAAATTAAGCTGGGAAACAAGCAACAGTAGCCCGTAGTCGAGACCATAACCGATGCCTCGGCCGTCAGGGGCTTGGTTGACCCATCTTTATTGATGAGTTTACCGCACCCAAAATAAACGTTTTTGAACGAAGCGCCGTTGCCGAATGTGAACTTTTCTTTGGCCAGAAATCAGAATGCCTTGGCTCGACGATCCATCCCCATATCCGCGGTTGTACTGGCAAGCTGAACCGCCGCCATTACACGATAGAAACACCGCATCATTCGAATGGCAGATATTGTCGGAGCAGGGGACGTGGGAGAAAGAAGACGATGTATCGTGGCTGTAAATCGCACTGCTCCCATTCATGTCTGAACACTGCGTCCATATCATGTCACTGCCGATGTCCAAGACATATTTCAACGGCACTGGCGGGCTTGCGATGCTTAGCTCGATCAATACCTCGCCGACGACGGGTACAACCCTTGACCGCACTTTGGTTCCCGTGGCGAGCTGCCTTTTAGATCTGGCCGCAGCTCACGGTTCATTCGCAGTGGCGGACCCAGAACTTTTCTGAAGCTGGGGCACTCCCGCATAGATGGAAATGGGTCGGGTCGGGTCGAATCAGGTTTATCATTAGTCTTTTTTGTCAAGTGCATTCAGATTATTATTTTTATCTGGAAATAAATTATTCAATGTCGGCTTTAAGCAATGAGCATATATGGATTACAAGTCTAATTTTGAACTTATTAAGGCAATTCTAAACAATATATATGGATTTTTGAAAAAAGATATAATATGGATCAGAAATGATTCATCATTGCGCTGTTTCTGATTTTACATTAGAATTCTCATTAGTTTTCATACTATACGATGATAAAGATTTCATATTTGAACTAGAATCATGTCGAATGTGACATATTGTGCCACAAAAGTTGTTGGCACTTGTCTGTAATATAATACTATCGAGTTAAAATGAACTATAAATCATGTTTATGATTTCATCCTTTAATACAATTTTATTTATTTAATAATATGATTCTATATATCTAACATTTGTCATATTATAGATAAAAAATTCAAAGAGTTTGTTGGTTTGAAACTAATTTATCGCGAATTGACAAATGTTTTCATGTATGGACTTTAATTCAAGATAAAAGTCTTTAATCTAATAAGTTCGTCCTACATGTTAGAACATTTGTCATATCTTTTACCTTTAACTTTGGACAAACATTATTTACACTAAGTAAGAAAATCATCAATGTCACTTTTCAAAGAAAGTGTAGTGACCATATCAACAACATGTCTAACTATAAGGATTTGTTCTATCACAACTTCGTGGTTGTTTATAATTTATACTACTATATCTTACTACAATTGTTATGTCTTCGATGGAGTCCTATATAACTTAGAGTTTTTCTGAAATAATGACAATATGATTGCAATAAAGATAGTGAACAACAATAAGACTTGGTTTTATTGATAATAGAAGCAAAATACAAGCGCTAATGAAGGTAGAAAGTAAATGGGAAAAAAAAGAAAAATTAATGAGGAAAACACGAAAGAAAGAAATTAGTAAGGTGAATTAGAGTAGTTGCGCCGGACACGCTGTTGGGTATGTTGCCTTGTGCTGTGTAATCGTGTTTGCTCCCTGGTTTCAATAGTCCTAGGCGTTGATTCATTACGTCTTTTGGATTTTTTGGAAACAACAACTGTGAAGCCTTCTTCTTCTGATGGTATGTGAGCCATTCTGTTTAATTGTTGATGCAAATTAATTTGTTTCTCTTTGGCCTTTTGCTGCATTTTGTGACCAACCTCTTTTTGAAATAATTGAAATTCATCTTTAATGTTGGCAAGAAAGCTATGATAATCCTGTTTTTTCTCCTCTCCAATTGTTGCACTGGAAGCATGAGTCTTCACTTCATCAACAACCACATGCTCTTCATTCATAGAATATAAGTCTTTATGGAACTTTTCGGCCTCTTCTTTATCGAGAGAAACTTGAGTCATCTTCTCTAGATTCTCTGTAGATATAAGACCCTCAATATTAGCTTTAAATAACATCTCAGAAATGGATAAAACATTCTGAGAATTATCCTCGACCCAATCACAACATTGCACCGCCATATTTGAAATAACTTCTCCCTGTGCAATTAGAATTTTCCGCTGTTCAGATGTAGATGTACTCATCATTTTGATTGATGTTGATAACCCTATCAAAAAACTCTCAATCCCTAATCCTTTTCGACCCTCCGAAACAAAAAGAGAGTTGTAACTCTTTTCTATTACAACAATAAGACTTGGTAACAACAATGACAATTTTAATGATCATGATTGTGTTCAATCTATCAATATAGTAACTATGCATGACAACTATATTAATATTTATGTCCATTAGTTCTACTTCGGTAATATTTATGAAATAGTCTCTAATTTTTTTGACCGGGTAGCGGGGATACAATTTTTATCTTTAAGTACTAATCTTAAACTTTGGGGTCGGAAGCAGGGGCATTTGCCGATTTGGACCCCCTAAATCCTCCAATGCTAGAAGGCGTTCCAGTCGTTATGTTTCCGCCGGAGTCAACGTGCCGCAGAGTCGCCGTAAACCCCAATCCGCTTATGGACGTGGAATTCACCGGCACGGTTGAACACACTTTTATTACGGATGAAATGGCCACCGACAGCATTATAAGCCGCAGCCAAAAGGACATTATATTTGTCTGTCAATATAATTTGTCCTAATTTAAACCCCATTTATATACATGTGTACTATACAGCAAAACATGTTACGTACTCAATTACGTAAAAAAAAGTTATTAAAAAATAATGGCCCAAAAGATGCAGAATTGGGAAAATATGAGGAAGTGTTTGGAGAGCAGAAACACATGCGCATTTGGAAGGTTCAGGAAACAGAGAATCAAGTGGGGATAACATGGCTCTAGATGGGGCGAAAAACGTGGAGATCTAAACATGATATGGAAGATGGTGGTGATCGGGAAGCTAGGACAAAATTTTTATTTTTTCGCATTTATTTATTTTGATTGTCTGGAGTTTATTGTCTACTTTCGGTTTTTTATTTTAAACATTATCTTACTTTTGATATTCTAAACAAATCATCATCATCACCACCACCACCATCATTGTTATTGTTATTGTTATTGTTATTGTTATTGTTATTGTTATTGTTACTGTTACTGTTACTGTTACTGTTACTGTTACTGTTACTGTTACTGTTACTGTTACTGTTACTGTTACTGTTACTGTTACTGTTACTGTTACTGTTACTGTTA